AAATTTTTTTTTCAATTTTATTTGTAATTTCATTTCGTATCACGAAATATTGCCTATCTGAAATATTTAATTTTACACTGCCACCTTTTTTTCATCTCTCCACCGAAGAGCATTGTGTTCGAGTTACCTGAAAAGTACAGATGAATCCACTGGAATATTTAAAGTTGACATCCTTTTATTTTTCCATTTTTGATGACAATATACGTATGCCAGTTGTGGTACAACAACATTAGGCAACAGTTGTAGGGCTTATTCTCCAAACACTAGTTTTCTTTTTTACTATTTATTTATCTTTTGTTCGGAAGAGGGTTAGTTAATACTTTTACATTTTCTTAAGTATTTGAAAAATATAGGTGGTGATTTGGCAATCAACTTCTACGGTAGGATCTAGTCTCTCGGCAGTACCTGAACGTAATTTTTTCTTGATTTTCTGACCCATAGTTGATACTTCTGTGTTTAATAGCACCGGTGTATAAAGCCAATGACAAAAAAATCGTTTCATAACTGTTCCAAGCTTCTTAGTCGTTGAGAAAATTCTTTTCATTGTTTTTTTTTTCGTAAGATTCTACAGTTTTTTTTACACTGTACACTTTGGCAGCTAAGATCTAATCGTCATGTTAAATTTTTACTGTTTTTTTTCGTTTCCTTCATATTTTGTCAGCGTGACTGTTATGCCGGTTTTTTGCACAGTCGGGTATTAAACAAAAGAAAATAAAAGAAAATATAATTTCAAGAAATATTAGGCAGGTTAATTAATTATATTTCTATTTTAACAAACCTACTTAACAGTTTCTTACTTTCATAACCGCTTATTTTCCTGGTTCTCCTTTTTTTCGCATTTTTTTCGGGGCGACAATTTTTTTAATTATAACTATTAAAACTGTCAATCAGTTACTGGTTAAGCGTTTGGTATTCATTTTACAAGGGTATAACCTCGTCAGGACTGAGCGATGTAATAATGTTGGTTGGTATGTTGATCAGGTTTGGTACCGTACCGTCGTCGCCAGTTGCACATTTCGGGCAGTGGTTGTTGTGAGGTGCGTGTTCTGCCGTTTCTGTTGTCGGTTGTGTATCGGTGTATCGGTGCGTATCGGATAGCAACGGCAGCAACAAGCTACGACTGTTGTACAGCAGAAAACTGTGGGCACAGATGCTGCTGCTGCCAGTGTTGTTTGGTTTGATAGCAGGGCAAAAAAAAAAATAAAAAAAAATTTCTTCAGATTTTGTTATGCCTTTTTTTCAGCGGAAATAAAGAACAAAGTATTTTGTTAAAAATTTAGAGCAATTTTTATTTATTTTGATGTTAACTGGGAACCCTTTTTTACATTTGCATAAATGCACATGTTTTTCGGAGGGGTTTGTTAAATTTGCTAATTTTCGATAAGCCAAAAACAGTTCTGTTTAAAGCTGATTGTTGCGCTTTCAACAAAGTATTCCTTTGTTTTCCTTTTTTTTTTCTTCCATATTAATTTATGTTCAACGATAGAGTCTAGGCTGACTGATGGCACGCGTTTACCTCATGTTAAATTGTCCTTATCAGTTTGATTAATCTGACGTCTTTTCAGTGAAATATAATTTTTTGTACAGAGCTTTTTGGCCATTATAAATATTCATTTTGAACATTATAAAGAGGTGCCGCTAGCCTTGCATTTTTATTTTCGGATAAACTTCACACACAGATCTTTATATTTATATATGCACATACATTTTTTCATCCTATGTTTTTCTTTTTCTTTCTCCTTGTTTTTTTTTT